ATTCGAACTCGATTTTTTTTATTTGCATTTTTTTATGATTGAGTTGAATGCCTCAAATCCTTTCGTAAGTGTGAATTTTTGAGGTGATTCAGATTCAGCTTTTGAATAAGAGGAATCACAATGAAAGTCAATTGATTAATGGAAGAAGAATACAATTCTTTTTTGAAGGAGAAGTTAAAGGAGAATCTACTTTCTATTGCATTTGATTATGATTTGTGACTTCTTGTATATAGAATATACTATGGATATACATATTTTTGATAACTATAAGATACAAGCAAAGCAAAGTTAATTAGAAATTAAAAACTCATTTTATAAAGCTTCCAAATTAGTTACTTTTTCTACTCCTTCATCTTCTTCACCTTCATCGTTATCTACTTCTGCGAATGCCAATTCGAAAAGTTGAAACGAGTGTCCTTTCAAGTTGTGAGAATTCAATTTGTAGCTCGGGCAGCACAAAAACCCTTCAAACTAAGCCAACAAAATTATGAATTTAAACAATTTTTAGTGCCTGATTAGCTGGAAAACTTTGGCCCAGGTAGCGAGGCCCTCGACGAAGCCACTTGATGCCGAATGTTGTGTGTGTGTGCGTGCGTGTGTGTGCCACTTGTCGATGCCACTGCCACTGATAATAGCAGCGGCCCAGTGCCTGCCTCGGTTGCCAACTAGCTTTTGCTTAACTACGTGCCACGCCCCACTTTTGGCTAGTTGCCAAGGCAAATTAATCATGTGAGAAATTCATTTGATTCACAGAGCGACATGGAGCAGGGGAGGAGAATTTGTGGCACGTGCCTCGTTGCTGTGCCCGTTGCAACAAATTTAATAAACAAAGCAATAAATGCAAAAGCATTCCAAACATTGCTCTGACAATGTAAAAATCATGATAAGTCAATTTTGTGTGTGACACGCTCTATCCCACACCCAGGCCGGCCTCCACCCTCTCGTTCTATCTGTCTCTTCCCTCTCGTTGTGCGTGTGCCACATGCACTGGCATATTGCCTGGCCACGGGTGGTGCTAAGACGCTTAGGCCTTAATGCACCACACAAATTGTTCATTTCTAGCTGTGAAACAAACAAATTAACAATTGCACCACACGCTGGGCAAACAGTCGCAGTCTAACCCACGCCTCCTCTTGACCCCCTACTCCCTTAGCCTCTCTCGCTCTCTCCCTTCTTCATTCACCTCACTCTCTTAATTTTTCAGCTATTCAGATTTGGTAACTGTTTGCTCAGAGCTGCTATCTTAAGTCACTTATTTTTGTCTACGCTCTACCTTCAGCGAACTAAATGCGTCACAATAAGTGCAAACTTGAATTTAGTACATTAATTAGTACATCTATAGGAGTATCGTAAAGTAAACGCTTCCTATATGAAAATACTTTCTTTTAGTATACATGATTTATAAATGCATTTGCATTTTTAGTACAACAATTGAAATTCTATATGTACTAAATAGTGTGCTAAATATATATAGGAGCTTTCTCTACTCTCTCAGTCACTATTTAAATCGTACGGAACTGTTGTGTCCCACAGCAGAAGTCACTGTAGAATATATGTTATACTTATTTATGCTCTAACGGCACTTCTCCCATTTCCGTTTTTACTCTCCTTCTGCTAGCACATGTTAATGATCTCTTCTCCCTGCTGGCTCTCTGCCTGCATATGCTGATATTAAGTGCACTCTCTCCATCTGCTTCCCTCACTCTCGTTTTCCATGCTGGCACTTTAGTTACTGCGCACTCTTCATCTCCCTCTCACGCACACGTTCTCTGCTTACATTTCGTGAATGCTTTTCTCTGTTATTAGAGCTCACTTATTTGTTGCTTATTCAATTAGATAAATATATAT